CCCCGTTCTGTATGTAGCCAAAATCTCTTATTTCCTTTGATTTGAAATCAAAGACAGTTGTAAGAAACAAGACAGTTTCTCGCAATAGCGGAGGAAACATATACAGAGATCTCTGTTTTTCTCAAAAGCACACAAAGACCTATCATTTTACCTCTTCTAGGGAAGAAATAAACTCTACAATTCCCTTAAATCAGGCCACCAGCTACATCCTATATTATCAGTCATTACCATGACTCAAATCTGATTCCAATGGCCACAGCCCCTCTCTCTGGGCATTGTTCATAAAAGCAGTAAGACCATTTTTCAAACTGAAATAGTATTTAACAGCAGCAGATAAGAGAGAGCAAATTAAAAACAAACAAGTGAAATGACCAATACACTTCTGTAGGTCCTACCATCCTCTGGTACCTGATGAGGCTACTCTTCTTCCTCCCAAATCTTCCAATAAACTGAAAGTTTACTTCTGCTGGCTCACAGAGTTGGTAAAAACAACTCATAAATGGGAGCATGGAATTACTGTGACAAAATTCAAGCTTTTTCTGTAAGCAACCTCCACATATTTTCTTGAAGGCTGCTTTGCTTGGAATATAATGGAAGAGAGGTTCCAGTTGACTCTTCCCCACCTCTTACTAAATGAGTTTGTAAACCTATTCTATTCCAATGTCCCTTGATGCAAAACCTGTTTCCTCCAAGATCTCCCACCTCAAAAGCAGTCTCAGCTAAGGTAAGATATGGAAGATCATAGGCAAGATACAGAACCTGACATTTATGACTTGTTTTATGTTCCAATAGCCTGAAACAATTTTTTCATCTCCACAGCCCCCTGGTTAACATTCTTTAAAAGGTTCTGGTAGTATCATAGAATCATGGAATGGTTAGTTTTGGAAGGGACCTTAAAGATCATCTCATTCCACCCCTCTGCCATGGGCAGGGACACCTTCCACTAGACCAGGTTGCTCCAAGCCCCGTCCAACCTGGCCTTGAACACTTCCAGGGATGGGATTGGTAAACCAAAACAAACAAAAATCCCTCTGAAAATTCCTTTTCTGTACTTCATCTTATGCAGGTCTTTGGCTAAAAGAAAATGTTTGCCATTTTCAAGTAACATCTGTTTAAAATTGGTCACAAAAGTGTACAACATTCAGTGAGATTGCTCTCTCTCTTCCCTTTGGCCCCCACATACAACTATATTACCATGGAAAAGGTTCTCTCTTAGGTAGTTACTAGAGCTTGACCTCTAGATGCAAATTATTTGACAGTGCTTAATGCAGGTAAGTCTCAGAAAACTGGTCACCTGAGCTGCTTGCTCCCAGGTAATGAAAATCTGATAGCAAAAGGGTCTCATCTTCTTTACCTCTGAACTACCCCAGTCTGAGACAGCCTTAGTGAAAACAGAGACCTGTTGTGCTGTGGGGAAAACTCAGTTTCTGCCTTGAAACCAGTTCAAACCATGTAATCATTAAAAAAAATAATTATTATTCAGGTTTTCCTGGTTTGTCACCTCTTGGATTTAAAGGGAAGTAGAAATAGGGGTCCTTTGATCACTACAGAATGTTTATGAAGCTGCACAGAAATAATTCAGTGCTGGACTGCGACAGCAAAGCTGTTGGGAAACCAACAACAAAGGAGACAGTGATTTAATTTCCAACACCTCAGTGAGCTGTAGGTGGTTGGTAGTACTAGAACAGAGGAGAGCTATCACTGCTGACAAGGCTCCTCCAACCTCTCCCTAATCAGGGCACAGATTTGGGCAGAAGGGCTGTAAAACCCAGATAAAATGTGACATTCTTTCTAGAGGACAGGGAGCTGTTGCTTAGAAACTGTTTACAGATACATCCTGCTGGTGTACCTAAAAAAAAAATAAAATTAGGTCATTCTTGGCTGTAGGTAGGAAAGATCTTTATTGGTATAAAATCCTCCCCATCTTTCTTTACTGTCAACAATTAACAATGCTTTAGGAAGGCTGCTTGGATGCTCTTTTTGCCTACAACTGCACATTCCCAGTGGCAGAATTACCAATATTGAAAGAATCTGGTGGCTAAACAGAGTGAATTGACATCATAGTTCACTCAGGAGGCTGAGCCCAGACTGGACCATCTTAGGAGGGGACTGGTATTAAAAGTGAAATCAAAAGGGGGTGGGGGGCAAAGTGCAATTACTCTTCTCATCCATCTCTCAGCTGTTGTGGAGGAAAGAAAAACATCAAAAATTAAGAAAAAAAAACAAATATACCAATACCACCAGACCAAGAAAAAAACTCAAAACCTCAGTTCTGCTTTTCAAGTGCACGATGAAACCAGGGCTGCCTAAAATGAAAGGGGAAAGGCCACAACACTTCTTTGAAGCCACGAGAGAACAAAGTTTGCCTTGAAGAACAAAAGGTGATGTTTGAATCCGTTCTTTTTATTAAGGAAAATAGTACCAGGAGCTCCTAAGTGTCTAAAACAAAGTTGCAGGCGAGCACTTACTGCACAGGGACAACAAAGTCGTTCAGAGCAGATGGGAAAGAAAAATTACATCAATCCAGAGCCAGTTTTCTCCTCCGCATAAATAATCCACGCTTGAACAATTTTTCCTCATATAAATAACTGCATTTATAAGAAGCCTCAAGTAAGAAGGCTCTTATATCATTATTCACTTAAAAACCACTCCAAAAACTCAGACAAATCACTGCTTTCTAAGTAAAAGAAAATAAAATGCACAGCTTGTGGTAATAAACAGCTCATTGTCGTCCTTCCAGAGAAAGTAATTTTTTTCTCTTCACTTAAAAATAAATGTAGCAGGGGCTTGTTTTCTTATATTAAGCAAATCACATCAAATGAATACAAGGAGAGTAAGTGCTACCACATGGCACCTCATGTAGCAACAGGACAGATGTCACAGTGATAACCCCAAAAAAACAAGGCTGGTGTTGTAGGGACAAGTGCCTCTGGTTGAAACTTCAGGGGCAGATCTCGAATTCATTAACAAAGCCCACATTCTCTGTAGTGTCAACATAAGGTCACCCCACCATCCTTCAGGCTGGAAAAATAAGGATCACGAAACCATGTGTAATTTAATCACTGTTCCTTAATCCAAAGGACAAACAAGGCCCTGTGCTGTGATGCCGTGTGTGACAAAGATGACTTCTGGAAGCCCATAGGTGGAGTTAACATATAAGATAACAAGTTTGGGTTTCAAGGGTTATCACAACCTAACACAAGTGCAAAGTCTGGGAGAATTGTTTAAACTCCCTCGCTCAATGCGTGGCTTCCCACTGAAGGAAGGTGGCTAATGGGGTAAGATCCCACTCTCCTATGCCAGAAATACAGACAAAAACAACAACAAAAGAAGAAAATATTAAGAACCACAACTATTATAATTCACAAACTAATCTAGAAATGCACTCTGAATTAAACTAATGTTAATTATTTCTAAAATTGAAGATAACATGGCCCATTTCCCCAAGGCTCCCAAAGCCACGCAGGAGGCCTGTGAAGCGTGGAGGGGAGGCCAAGCTGATCTTTATTCATGTGTTGCTCTGCTTATCTACATGGGAAACAGAATTATGCTCTATTTAGCCCTCTGTCAGGTTGCTCAGGTTTTAAAATAGCTGTTAATGAAATCACAAGCCTTCACCACAAAAAGCAGGAACGAAAATAGCAACAGGACGGCAAACGTTGGACTGCAGCAACTCTGAGCGAGTGTGGAGCAAAAGAGACATCTCCCCACAGTCTTGAAATAAAACACAGGGAATAATAGATTACATTTTACTGAGGCCTCACTACAGTGAATGGCATTTCATAACAATTTTCACAGAAATACAGTTCTTGAAAAACTGTTTTTACCTTTGGCTTAAGAACCTAACAAGAAAAGAGTTCAGCAGGGGAAGCGTTCCTTACATTAACACATAAGACACCTGGAAATCACCTGAAGGACACATAATTTATTATAATAAAAAAATAAGGCTTTTAATTTTTCATCTTTTTCACAGTATTGTGCAAAACTCAATTTTAACTCACTCAAATGGCCGTAACTTTAAAAATGCTGCCGGCACATCATTTGCACTAAATTATTTAGAAATAGATGGACATACACTTCTCAGACTGAAGTTTGGGCTGAATTTTAGGAATGACAATTAACAAAACACTTCCTTTAAAAGAAATAAAATCATAGAATCACAGAGTGGTTTGCATTGGAAGGGACCTTAAAGACCATCTGGTTCCAACTCCCTGCCATGGGCAGGGACACCTTCCAGCAGAAAGCAGTAGTGAATCTTTTGCTTTCCATTTTGAAATGAGAGAACCTTGATAAATACGGCTAAAAACCCAACAACTACTTTAATGGTGATTAAACATGTGCAAAGACTGCACATTATTTCTGACGGAAGAAATCTGAAGTGATCACACACCTCCATCAAATCCTTCTGTTTTATTTAGTGGGATCCAAAAGTGAAAAAACCCAAGAGTTGTTCTTCAGACACCAAAAATTCCTTGGAGAAACAAATAATGAAACCTTTCTAACACACTGACTGTGATCACTGCCCTTGACATACCTTGCAACTCATCTTGTAATATTTCCCATAGTACTCTCTGTGTTTGGAAACACAGACCCACAATTAATTTAGATTCATCATACAGAGTATTCTGCATATGACATACACACGCCTATAATACACATCATTTAAGACAACATCTGTAATTCTATTTCCACTAAGGCATAATATCTCCAAACTGTCAGGACTGCCACCAAATTTCATCATTATTTCATGTACTTTGCCACACTGAAGACTAACTCTGAGCTGTGGTTCCTCCCAGGGCACCCTCCCAGTCACGTTTTGGGAGAAATACAGTTAAACTCATCAAGTAACTCAGTGCTGGTATGTTTGGGGTTGGTTTTGGCACTGAGATGAACCCAGGATGTTGCACAGAAGAAAACCAGCAGTGATGGATATGGCAGAGGACCTTCTGGAAACCTGTGACCTCACAGAAGAGCAAAGCTGAAGACTGTAAGGTGTTTCCATCATGCTTAGGGAACTGAATTCACCTGCAATGTTTTCTTCAACTGGCCCAACATAACGTTTCTCACTTCTGAGGAAAAGGAGCCTTTAGATCAAAACAACAAAAAAAACCCAGCTCATTAAAATGAAGGATTGAGCAGCGGGTATTGTTTATTTACAGCAACTGAGGAATCAGATGCAAAGAAGAGCTGATCTACTGGACTCTTACTGCTACTTTTTTTTTTTTAATGTTAAAATGGTAAAAAAAAGTCCTGCTCACATAAATCATTTGCTTTCTGAAGCATGGTAACAGACACAGTCAGTACTGACAACAGTCTAGAAGGTAACACAGAGAGGCATTTGAATTTTCCAGAGATTTAAGCAATTTATCGATCACTGCAAGAGCACACAGGACTGGCTCCTGCTACACTCAGGAGACACAGACACAAGTCCAGTGCCAAAGGCAGAAACAGCTCCAAAAGTGTTGGGTAAGAGCTCTGTAACACTGATGAAAATTCTGTAATTAATTTCAAAGGATCAAGGATTTAATCTTGCATAATCTGAATACCCAAACCAGCCCCTTAGACCAGACAGCCAGAAACCATCTGTAATGCTGGAAGAGGCTCCCAGTAAAATAAATCTTTCTCCTCAGTCCTCGTTAAGTGTTCCTCATGTTTTGTACATTTCTTGAAATTGGAGAAACATATTTCACATTCGAGGCACTGAATTTACTGCAAAAGGAGGATTATGTGGGGACCAGAGCTAAGATTCAATATGAGTGCTTTACTTTTATTTTAATGCATAAAGAAGGTTTGACTGGTCAAACACAATGCCTTTTTTTTTTTTTGTATTTACATATTTTCCTCTTCATTAAAGGATCTCCAAGTACTTCAAGCTGCTAAAAGTCTTCCTGTGCATCCCTGTGTCCCTCAGCAGCTGCACTTTGCCTGTATTCCCTACACCTGAGCTGTACTGGCCAAGAGGTGACCTCCATTCTGAGCATCTTTAGCAATTTCTAATTAAAGCCAGGTGGAAATCATTAAAAATACATTTTTTAAGGAGTGCTTTCAAAATTCTTTCTTCACTCACAGGATCTCGCTATCACCCCAACAAAAAAAAGAACTTAATGAAGAACAGCAAAGAAAGAGAAACATCCAAACCAGCACAGCCAAGAGGTGAGTGGATGAGGTCACTCCAAATTTTGGAGATAAAAACTGTCCAGCCCACATCACTAATTTCAAGCACATCTGAAATGTTTAAACTCCTGTGTCTTCTTTCATAGAATATCCTGAGCTGGAAAGGACCCACATGGATCTTTGAGTCAAGTCCTGACCCTGCACAGGACAACCCCAAAAATCCCACCATGTGCCTGAGGGTGTTGCTGACTCATATTCAGCTTGCCCTTGACCAGGACTCCCAGGTCTCATTCCTCAGTCTCTCCAGGGTTGTCCTGTCCCAGGTGTAGGATCCAGCCCTTGCCTTTGATAAACTTCTTATGGCATTTCCCTGGGGAATTGTGATTTTCAGTCCTTCCTCAGAAGCTGCTCCTTCTGTGTAACCAAATACTGATTGCTCTGATCCACCCCTGTCCTCATCATCACAGTCCATCTCACTCTCGCCCTCTTTCAAGAAATATTTAATTACTCTGGATTATCTCCCCAGAGGTTGATCAGGAAAGGCTTTAGACATCACAAATCCTGCAGCATCCTTAGGGTAGGACAAACCTTTCTTCTGGATATCAGGGCAACAGACTGGACCTCACACCACCTCCAAGGCGTGAGAGTGAAAAAGCAGAGAGAGCAAAGAAATGAGAGATCCCAATTTTTACACCATCATGGAAAACTGATTTTAAAAAAAAAAAAAAAGGAAATATTCAAAATATTTATCTATAGTGTTTCCCCTTCTTCCTGACTGATCTTTTTATGGAAAACCAGCCAAGAAGCTGTTCTAGGGCTACGTAATATTTTTTTTTTTGGTTTCTTTTGGCTGACTGTCAACCACCCAGCAAAAATAAACTCATTAAGATGACAGGAGACCTGAACACACTCATGCTGTCAGTGCATCTCAGCATCATTCCCATGAACCCAAAAGCCATAAAACAATTAAAATAAAGTTAAGCTGACTCCACCCTTAGGATGAAACCAAGCTTGCAAGGATCTGTGAGCCCAAAGTCGGTGTCTGGCAGCACCTGAGCTAAAGGGTACCTGCAACTCCAGCACATGTCAAGCCAAAACAGTCCTAAAACTCCAGCAAACGAGGAGAAATTGGAGTGTGGAGCCTCAGAAAAAGCATTTATGTCATAATTACAGCTCTCGACCTAAATGTGTTTGCAAGCCTACTATTTCTGTATCCAATCCACTGCCCCCCATGTGTTGAATCTGTCCAGTTATTTGTGATTTTTTCTTTTGCTGCCACCAAATTTGTAGCTTTCCCCAGCTTAAGGCTCACATGAAGCCTCGTAATCAGCGAGGTTTCTACTTAAAAGCAAGAGGAAAAAAGTTACCATGGCTACTACAGTCACTCAGCTTTCTCAACTACTTCAAGACATTAATTCTGAAGGCTTTTTGGCTATGTTTGCACAAAATGTATGCTTCTATACCACTCTGTCATGCAAATTAGGTTGTGCTGCAGCATTTGAGATCACCTGGGACCATACCATACCTCTGGCTGGCATTCCAAAAAGACTCTGCAAGGAGCAAGGTGATAGTTTCCCTGATCACATTAAGGAAATTATAATGAAATATATTAAATATAATTAAAAACAATAATAAAATGCTATTTCTTACCCTGCCAAGTGAAGGTAAATACTGAACACAGATAGCCCAGACATTTTCTAGTTCTTAGGCTGAATTTGTAAACAAAATACAGTTGGTGGGTAAATACAGAATTAGAACAAACAAAGACATAAAGTATTTATAGGGCTGTAGAAAGTGCTCTGGAAATGCATTTAAGTTATTTAGAAGATGAGGAAAGCATACAGGGGAGTGATAAAATGTATATAAGGTTTGAGGCACACAAACATTCACCTACATTGACCCACTATCTCCTGGGCTCAGACCTGAATGCAAGGGTTGGAATTTGAGTATAAAAGAAAAAAACTTTGTTCAAGGATGCAATTAGTGTGCAAGAGCAAATTAGAGCATCCAGGGGTTCAGTTTGCTGCCTTAGCCATGCACAGAATTCTCCCTAAGCCGTGCAGGTAAAGCTGAATCATAAGATAGCAACAGTTTTTCTCATGTCTTTTTCTTTTTTTCTCATGTTCCTGTTCTTGCTGGATGTCAGATGAGACCCAGTAACAACATTTAGCAAGGCCAAAAGTCCACAACACTTTATCAGCTGATTGAAACAGGCTTGAATTTTAGGGAAAGCCCAGGCAGCTGACCCAAAGACAAGGGACACCTCTCTGTGGTCTCTGCCCAGTGCTCCCAGACAACCAGAATATTTGTTGGAGCGTATTTATCCCAATTCTATCCCTCCACTGCCTCATCCTCCTTCATTCATGGGCTTCCTGACAATTTCTTTTCCTTAGAAGTATTTCTGTGTGGCATCTGAGCACTGGGAATGGAGATTACAGAGATAATGGATACATTTAAAATTAGACTAAGCAGCTGTAATTCTGAATTTGCATTTCTGACTTGATTATAGTGAGCACTCAGGACTATCTGTGTAAGAACTAGAAAGGAGTTCATGTGTTGCAATAAAAATATATGAATCTCTCTCACTCTGACCCCATTGAGGGAAAAAAAGGATAACAAATGGCACTTGTATGGCAGTTGTTTCTTTGCCATTCTGTAACTTCATTTTAAAGAATCACCTGTAGATTTTAATTGCAAGAATTAAATCAGCCACCTTTCCTATATTTTACAAATGGAAGAACTATTCTCCTACTTACCTGGATTTTTCTCACTTCAGATTTAAGTTGTTATCTATTTTATACCTTTCCTTGAAAGGCTGAAGAGTCTTTTGTTATCTAATCAATCAACATTGGTAACCACAGAATAACCATTTATGAAGCATTTTGATAAATCCTCTGTGAAAACCGAGCACAGATGACACAATTAATTTTACTTAAATATTCTGTCCCAATACAAAAAGTTAGAAATCAATCCTTTTCTGCTTTGGGAAAAGCTGAAATAACCATTTTCATCATATGATTTTTTACAGAGATGTAGGGAAAAAAAGAGTATTTGGGTCCTATATTCAAAGTTTCTCAATAAATACCATGAAGAATTAACTACGAGTAAATTATCACAGCTGGTCATATTTTTTATCAGAAGGAAAGACCATTCAATAAACAGTCTAGAAAGTTAGTATTTAATGACAGAGAACATCACACCCATTCTCTATCAATTTGTATTCATTCACTTACTTAAAACTATTTATTTACAAAAGTCTCCAAATTGATGCAAATTTACACAACAGCTTGAAAGAGGAAATCTCACTATACCAAGAAGCAAACAACAAAATGCTTTTCTAGAGGCAGCAAAGGGGGAAAAAAAAATCTAATCAGATAAAAACATCTGCCTCAGACTGTTTGAGCGAGTTTTGTTTGCAAATAATTTTTATGCCTCTTTTAGAAAGATTTTATTCATGTTTGTTAATGGGGTTCCTCTGGAAAGGACACAACTATTGCTCCTGACACGATGATACTGCAATAGAAATAGATCCAATGCTTACTAAAATTTTATTCCATTGTTTTAGTGTTTTACTCCATAATCTAACTTGAAAGTTAAATCTCTAGGAGGAAGCCTCTTGGAATTACTTTTGATGTTTGAAAAGATTTAGAGAACTGATAAAAGTGGTTTTCTCAGCTCTGCACAGGATGGAGACAATCTCTTTATTTAAAACATAAGGAATATTTCCAACTGACCCTTTCTTTACAAGCACAACTCAGAGAACGGAGAGATTCAGCTGCCCCTGCTGTGCTGAATGGGCTTTAAGGGAGAATTTCCATAAAGGCACATTCAGTGGAATACAGAGGAGTGGCTTTTGTTAGTAAATAACAGAGTATTAAAAAATAAGGTTGATTAGTTGTAGACAAGGGCCAAGTAATTAATCCATTTAGAAGCTTTAAGTAACTCAAAAGCTTAAGCCCCATTTGCAGAAGTCACCTGGGCAAGTGGGAGCCTCCCCTGGCTGAAACCACTTCCACTTTCTGCTCAGAAGAGGCTGTTCTGAATTCAAGCTCCACTTACATTCAAATTGTCTTCTGTTTTAATATTCTTGTCTACATTAAGCATATTGTAACATATGCTTGCTTTTAAAATACACAGCTTCAAAGAAAAGGACAAGTCCACGGGAGAAAGAAATGTCACATAATAATTACTTAAAACACCAGAGATAACAGCAGATTGGAACATCTATAAAAATATCTTTCAAATACTCTAAACACAGAAATTCTTTCAAATAACTGCAAAATCTAGCATTTATTCTTGCCTCTCAAATGCAAACCCTGTGAGATGTTCTTATTGTTACAGGATTCAGCTTCACTTAACTGAATAATTCTCATTACTTAAGAAGCCTGAAAACTTGGGCAGTTCTCTGCAACAATGTTGAAAACATTTCTCCCCTGTTCTCTGTACCAGAATGCTAATGCAAGGGGTGAAAAGCACTGCTAGACAAAAAATATTCCAAAGGAAAAAAAAAAAAAAAGCCTTGCTATCAGAAAACGCTGATTCAGCACAGTCAAAGTACTTTAAGGAAAGGTGTGCTTTCTCAACACAACCGAGGAAAAACTATGGAAAAGCTTCCCTCCTGCTCCCTACGAAGCCAAAATGCTTTGTCTGATGACAGCACAAGATATTTGAAACATCAAATGTATACGGTGGGGATGGTGGGGAGTGCGGATAGTTCCACCAGGGGAAGGAATTTTTTATTTTGCTGGGAATTTTAAGATTCACCTGCTTGTTCCACGTCAAAATAAAAAAGTACTCTAAACAAGAGGAGCATGAAAACCCTGCCTTTGAACCAACTCTACTGGTAAGTGATGGTAACAACAATTTAATGTCGTCGAGCAGCC